ATAACTTTAGGTTTTAATAGCATGATGTTGTGGAACAGTGATTGTCAATGGAGAATGAATCCAATTTAACCAAAGTTCCTTGGCTGAGGGAGAAATACAGACAGACAAAGCAGGAGACTAGATGAAGGATGGCAAAAAAGTGAAGAACAGTTAGAAAGGCAAGAAGTCATCTAAAATAACCCCAAAAGATCACGGCACGCAAGCGTGGCTCAGTCGGTTAAGCATCTGACTTCAGCTCAGGTCATGATCTCATGGCTAGTGAGTTCGAGCCCCGCATCAGGCTCTGTGCTGATGGCTCAGAGCCTGGAGCCTGCTTCAGATTCTGTGTCTCCCTCTCTCTTTGCCCCTCCCCAACTCTCACTCTCTCTCTCTAAAAAATGAATAAACATTTAAAAAAATGTTTTAAATAACCCCAAGAGATCATTCATCACAGTGACCACTTTTGGCTGTGTGCAAAATTCACTGTGCCACGGTGGCAAACCTCTCTGCTCGCTGTCCATGTTCAAAACGCTAGCGCAAGGTGAACTCCATGCAAAGACTCACGGACAGTGGGTCCATTTAGCTCAGAGATCCCACCTCAGCAAGTGAGGCAGGAGAACAGAAAGGAGGCAACTTAGCGCGGTGTTTAAGAGCACGCGTTGTACAGTTAAACTGCCTGTGTCGAATTGCAGCTTTGGCTTTTATTAGCCACGTCACCGCAGGCAAGTGTGTTAACCTCTCTGTCCCTCAGCTGGTTCACGTGTAAGATGAGGACATAACTGATCCCACTTTAGAAGGATTCTGTGAGGATGAAATGAGATCACCTAGTTAGTTTAAGCTCCGAGCACAGGACCACATACAAAGTTGGTTATCATTATTACTTGAAAAATTCCCCAGAAATAAACTCTTTGGTCTTCGTCCAAAACTGTAAAAGGTAGACAGGTGGCCCACCGACCTTTCAGAGAGGTTCCACAGTGCTTCCAATCGGATAGGCTTGGGCACAGAGCCCACACCCCAAAAGTTCACCTTTTAGTGTCCCACCTGCACGTGTCCGACCCGCACAACTAAAACAAGCAGAGGCCATGTTGTTACTAACACGGGTAAAAGATGTGGGAAGGCTCGGCCGAGCACCGAGCTGTGATCGGTACTGCTGCTCTAACGGAGAAGGCATCCTAGGGTACCTAGAAGGAGAAGAGTACAGTGACCCCGGGGGAACTATGTCTCTTTCTGCCACTGCAGCAGCCTGAAGATCACACCTCATTCTCAAGGACTTCAGGAAGAACCTATCCTGCACCGTACCAAGAACATCAGAGCGCTTACAAGGTCAACACTAAGAAACGCTGTCAGCCATAACATACAGACAGGTTTTAAAGTAAGCAATGTAGGGGTTTGTTTTTACTTCAAAACCCAAATATGCTTTTTGGTGTTATCTTTTCCAAAAGCAGGACACTCTGCAATTGGCAATATCTTAGTGCCAACTCTCAACTCCCCGCTAAGAATTAAGAACACAGCAACAACAACAACACATACTCTATACGTCAGCCTGTAGTTACTTTCACGAACAATTATGTTCTCATGAAATCTTTCACAGTCACTACGAAGCCAACTGACTGGTCTGTCTTCTGTATATGTCGCCCACCTTGACCTATACAGGTAATACTGAGTAGTAAAACTACCAAAATTAGAGGTCGGGGGAAATGTGAGGGAGAAGAGTTGAGAAGATTTACAAAGTCAATCAGGAAGTACAATGTCAAGAATTCACCACATTTTGGATTTGGAGCATGCGCTCTAGGCTCAGACCCAGCCTGATGGAAAAAGCCCCCCGAGTGGAGACCGCTGATCCCCAAGAGGCTGGTCTGCCAGATGCCTGGCCTTGCCCAGAGTCTGACCACATCTGGCATGTTCCGGGACAGGGCCAGCTGGGACTCCATCCCAGGCTGCGGGTGGTGGGGGGAGGGTACGGAAAAATGAATCAACCTGCACTGCAGTCCTGACTGGTGTCCTCATCTGTGTGAGACAACATGTGTGTTCAGAGCAGTGAGGGATAAATAAAATACTGATGATGGTGGGGAAAAAAAAAAGGAATTTACCACATTTTAGAAACTTAGCTATATACATTTCCACTGCATATATATAAACCAAGATACTGGTTTTGCAATATCATTCTCCAGTAATGGAATCAGAGCTCCTCAGAAAGATAGCTGCTTCCAGGGCTGAAGCAGGGAAAGAACAGGACAAGTCTGGAACACCTTGTACCAAAAAAGTAAAGAAGTGCTCAGAGAATGATGGGGATGTGTTAGAAGGGCCTGCGGCCCAATGGAAGGGGCTGTCACCAGCCAAAATGGGGATACCTGGAGCATCAAAACAAATAATGAGGGGCGCCTGGGTGGCTCAGTTGGTTGGGCGTCCGACTTTGGCTCAAGTCATGATCTCACGGTTTGTGAGTTCAAGCCCCGTGTCGGGCTCTGTGCTGACGGCTCGGAGCCTGGAGCCTGCTTCAGATTCTGTATCTCCCCCCGTCTCTGTCCCTCCCCTGTTCATGCTCTGTCTGTCTCTCAATAATGAATAAGTGTTAACAAAAAATAAAAATAAAAAATAAATTTTTAAAAATTTTAAAAAACCAACAAAATAAATAATGAGAGTAAAGAATTATAATCCTCTGACTAAAGTAAGAATCTGCGAGTCCACAGTGATATGATTAATGATTAAATAAATAAATGGGATGGCGGAGGTGGGGGCTGTTCCTTAGTGGAGAAAAACAACTACCATATGTAAGAGGAAGGACAGAATAGGAAAAATCACCATTTGCCAATTATCATCATAATCACTGATCCCGGCAAGAATCATCAAAGAATACTAAACTGGTGGATCAAAGTTTGAGAAGTAACAGGATATTCACATGGCCTCAGAATATATCCCTACAAACTACTTTTCGATTACGATTAAAATTTGCAGTAGAGAAACCTGACAGACTCCACTCCAACCATCTGATCAGAGTTACCATTGCCAGTACTGGTGTTGATGGACAGTGGAGCCTCCTGGTGTGATGCACAGAGAAGCCTGCATCACGTCCGGGACTGCTCTGCCAAACATAGAACCTAAACCCAACTGTGAGAAGACACCAGAAAAATCCAACCCAGATGCACTCTATAAAACAACTGGCCCGTGCTATTCAAAGCTGCCAACGTGGGACGCCTGGGTGGCTCAGTTGGTTAAGAGTCTGACTTCGGCTCAGGTCATGATCTCACGGTTTGTGAGTTCAAGCCCCGCGTCGGGCTCTGTGCTGACAGCTCGGAGCCTGGAGCCTGCTTCGGATTCTGTGCCTCCCTCGCTCTGTGCCCCTCCCCCGCTCATACTCTAAAAAATAAATAAACATTAAAAAAAAATTTTTTTTTAAAAAGCTGTCAATGTGATGAAGACTGTAGACTAAAGGAATCACAATGTCAGGGGAGCCTGGGGGGCTCAGTCGGCTAAGCGTCCGACTTCAGCTCAGGTCATGATCTCATGGCTCATGAGTTCAAGCCCCACGTCGGGCTCTGTGCTGATAGCTCGGAGCCTGGAGCCTGCTTCACATTCTGTCTGGGTCTCCCTCTCTCTCTGCTCCTTCCCTGCTCACACTCTGTCTCTCTCTCTCTCAAAAAGAAAAATAAACATTAAAAAAAAAAAAGTCAGATTAAAGGAATTGAATGTAGCATGTGCCCTTGAATTTTCTTTTGCTATATTTCAGTGTTAAGTTCCTGATTTTGATCATTGTACTGTAATTATGTACGAGAATTTCTTGCTTTTAGGAAATATACACTTAAATATTTAGAGATAAAGGAGAATCATGTCAGCAATATACTTCTAAATGGTTCAGAAAGAAAAAAATGAAGGGGTAAGTTCAGTAAGAGAGAAAAGGGAGAAAAGGAGACAAAGATGGAGGGGAGGGGAGGCTAAGGATAAAAAAAAAAATGTAACAAACCACTAACATTTCAGGAACCTCTGTGAGAGCATCTAGGAATTCTCTGTCCTATTTTTGAAACTTCTCTGTGTCTGAAATTATGTCAAAGTAAAAAAAAAAATTAAGTTGGATATAAAGTGATACATTTGTCAAAACTCAGGGAACTGTATGTAATCTGTCCATTACATCATATATAAATTACATTTCGATTAAAATAATAAAAGCTTATTCTAGATGTTTTATCAAATGTTGATGATTGGAACACTTCAATAATTAAAAACAGGGGTTAGAAACCCATCGAGGTCCTACAAAAAGCCTTCACTGACTTCATGCCTATCGAACGTCAAGCTCAAAATGAAAAACGAACACCAGTTGGTCTGGCTGTCATTTCTGTGATCACACTGACCCACATCACTCATGATTTTCCGGCTATAAAGACGGAGGCCTGCCACCTTCTGAGCATGCTCCGCATGAGGCCCTCTGTGTGCTCAGCCGGTAACGCCACGAGCTACACCGCATTCCCTTGTTAATCAATCTCCAAATCCATAAGCCCACCATAAGCAAACCGAGATCTTAAGTTTTTTTAATTAAAAAAACGGGGGTGGGGGGAGGAAGTGGCACCTGAGTGGCTTGCTCGGTTAAGCATCCGACTCAGGTCATGATTTCATGGTTTGTGAGTTCGAGCCCCACGTCAGGCTCTGCGCTAACAGTACGTACACAGCCTGCTTGGGATTCTCTCTCTTTCTGTCTCCCTCTGTCTCTGCCCCTTCCCTGCAGAGGCTCTCTCTCCCTCTCTCAATTTAAATAAATACACTTTAAAAGAAAAAAAAAAAAGGCAGGAGGGGGTGGAAGAAGCCAAACATGAGGGTAATGATTCCTGAGGAGGGCGCACGCAATGCCCAAAGAGCCTTGGGAAGATATTCTGGCTGATGCCAAAGCCCAGACCAGGAGCTGGCCTACCACCTGGCTGAGAACCTAAATTAATATCTTTCAAAGTAGTTTTAAAAGATTACCATCAATACAGTAGTCAACTATTTTTCTCAAAATATTGATAAAATGAAATGATTAAGACATGTCATACCTTGCTTTAGAAATACTATAAATTCCTTTGTAGTTTGGTCCAAATTAACTCCATGATACACTATAGGTTTGAAATTGCGATGCTCAAAAGAACGAATGAGGCGTACTGTAATGGTCACTTCTCTGGAAGCCATGCGGAGAAATTCCTGTGGCGAGGGACATGAGAACAGTCTGAATAACATCCATTCACAATTACCCAACAAGCGTGCATTTCCACCATCAGCTCCAGGGCGCCCGGCCATCGTTCCCACGCTGCATGGTTACTGACGGAGTCCCCAAACCCAGGCCAGATCCCAGGCACCCAAAAGGGTCCCAAGGTTACCCCCATCTGTCCACTGTGACCCTGGACAGCTCTGTCACAGTCACTGATGTCCTGATTGGCACAAAACGAACAGGGCCCAGAGGAACACAAGTGACACAGGTGTGTGGGTGCGTGTACGGGAAGAAGTGGGGTTTCCAAGTGGATGCATGGCATAGACATGACTGAATGGGATTTGCTGTGCCAGATGTCCCCTCGCTTCGTCCTGAGACAGAGTCAGCTAACAACACGTCACGGTTTAATCTCACAACTGCTGCCAGATTTCAGTGCTGATTTCATTTTCTGCTGTGGTATTTTCCCTCTTTCACGCTATTGTTTAAGCACGTTCGCCTCATTCTAAAACTACATGCTCGTGCTATGTGCCAGCTGTTAATGTCATCTCCCCTAGCTCTATCATCAAACCATGAGGTATTACACTGATTTTATTTTATTTTTTTTTAAATTTTTTTTTTCAACGTTTATTTATTTTTAAGACAGAGAGAGACAGAGCATGAACGGGGGAGGGGCAGAGAGAGAGGGAGACACAGAATCGGAAACAGGCTCCAGGCTCTGAGCCATCAGCCCAGAGACTGACGCGGGGCTCGAACTCACTGACCGCGAGATCGTGACCTGGCTGAAGTCGGACGCTTAACCGACTGCGCCACCCAGGCGCCCCTACACTGATTTTAAAGATGAGGAAACAGACTTGGAGAGACTGCACAAATTGCCCAAGGCCGTAAAGCAGGTAAATAATGGAGCCACATTTAATTCCAAACTGATGCCTGAATCGTGGCTCCCTTGTTTACCTGTTCCAAAGTCCATGCTCTCATACACTATCAGAAAATCACACCAAATTATTTCCTCCTCAAAAATCTGCAAAGTTGCTTATGATCTAATGAGAGAATTATGGTCTACTTCTATCCAGTAATAAGTACTTCATGCTTTCAACTCTGCATAAAATTTGCAGCCGTAATATACAATTGTATTTGGGAAAAAACACCTGTAATACTACACATTAGACATCTAACCTCCCTAGTAATCAGAGAAATTCAAAATAATGAGATCACTTACTGAACTAACAGACAAAAAAATCTGATAATATCTAGTGTCGGCAAGGGTGTAGAGCAATGAGAATTTAATCAGGGAAGGTGGGCATCCCAAACAGGTACACTTTTGGAGACAATCTGGCAATATTTAGTAAAACTGAAGATATATGCTCCTTTCAATCCAGCAATTTCATTCATAGGTACCTGAGGGAACCTCCCAAATATGTGCAAAAGAACATTGTTTATTAATTCCAAAAACTGGAAACAAAATGTCCATCAACAGAAGAGGTAAGTAAACTATGGCATTCGGTGAAACAGTATAGGCACTAAAAATAAATGGACTATACACACCAACATAAATGAATCTCAAAAATATTATGGCAAAAGGAGGGGAAGGGCAGCACTGGGTGAGAAAGCTCAGTCGGTTGGTATCCCGACTCCAATAGTCATGATCTCTCACGGTTCCATGGGTTCAAAGCCGCATACGGCTCTGTGCTGACAGTGCAGAGCCTGCTTAGGATTCTTTCTCCTTCTCTCCCCATCCGATCCCCACTTGTGCTCTCTCTCTCAAATAAACAAGTAAACTTTTAAAAATATATATTATGTGATAAAAAGAAAACTAAGTTGCTGAAGAGTCCTTTTATTCTTTTTCATTTATGCAAAGTTCAAAACATGGCTTTCTCAAAAATTAAAAACAATGACAGACCTACCCTATGACCCAACAATACTACACTGCTAAATTTACCCAGGCATACAGGAGTACTGATGCATGAGGGGCATACCCCAGTGTTTACAGCAGCACTCTCAACAATAATAAATTATGGAAAGAATCTAAATGTCCATTAACTGATGAATGGATAAAAAGAAAGTGGTTTACTACACAATGGAGTACTAAATTGGCAATGGGGAAAGAATGAAAATATGGCCTTTGTAACATATGGATGGAACTGGAGAGTGTGATGCTAAAGTGAAATAAATAGCCATACAGAAGAGAAAGACAGATGCCATATGTTTTCACTCTTGTATGTGGATCCTGAAACAACAGAGAAACCTAGGGTAGAACAGAAAAAGGGTGCAAAGTGGGAGAGAGCCAAAGCATAAGAACTCTTAAAACTGAGAACGAACTGAGGGTTGATGGGGGTGGGAGGGGGGAGGGAGGGTGGGTGATGGAGTGTTAGGGGAGGGGGCACCTTTTGGGATGAGCACTGGGTGTTGTATGGAAACCAGTTTGACAATAAATTTCATATATTGAAAAAAAAATTACTTAAATAAAAAAAATTTTTTTTAAAAACATACCTTGTATTACGTTTAAAAAAGAGATAATTGTTATTTATGAGCCAAAGGAAGGAGTATGCAATACGAAAGAAGTACACAGACCACTTATATTGGTAGAAGTTTATACCTTAAGCAAGGTGTTCGGTATATGGGTCGTACGTTATTCTTTACACCTTTTAATGTGTTTGGACTCCTTCATAATATACACCACAAGCTACACTAATTTGGCCTAGAAAGTCTTTCTGCATCATAAAATGCTGATACAATATTTTACTAAGGTTGAGGGAATATATAGACCATTATATATGAAAAGTAAAGGTTCAAGCTGCTTTAATACATAATTTATAACTAATATTGTTTATATTTAAATGAATGGTTCTTAATGAACTGAAAATTATTTTCTCCCCCTAAAATAAAGTTAAGGATTCACCTTATAGTCTTGCACAGTGGTTAATGGCCTTAAATTAACAAATCTTTTGGGGCACCTGGGTGGCTCAGTCAGTTAAACGTCCCACTTCAGCTCGGGTCATGCTCTCACGGTTCGTGAGTTCGAGCCCCATGTCGGGCTCTGTGCTGACAGCTCAGAGCCCGGAGCCTGCTTCGGATTCTGTGTCTCCCTCTCTCTCTGCCCCTCCCCCACTCAAGCTCGCTCTCTTTCTCAAAAATAAACATAAAAAAATTAACAAATCTTTTGATAATTCCAATATTAGCTATGACATTATTTCTTCTTAAACTGGATTACAATGCTCCCTCCCCAAATTCTGATCCAAGAATCTACCAAGTAATAGCACTTCAGCAGACATCCACAAAATTACAATTTAAAATACACTGAAGTACTTAATAAAGCAAACTCCTTAAAAAAAAGGGATATTATAAAAGAGTCCTGTATTTTATTTTTTTAATGTTTGTTTATTTTTGAGAGGGACAGAGAGATAGAGACAGAGAGTGAGTGGGGGAGGGGCAGGGAGAGAGGGAAACAAAGAATTCGAAGCAGCTCTGAGCTGTCAGCACAGAGCCTGATGCGGGGCCTGAGCCCATGAACCGTGAGATCAAGACCTGAGCCGAAGGTGGATGCTCAATCAACTGAGTAAAATACATCTAAAATTTCTGTATTTTAGAAGCAGCGTTAGCAGGTTTGTTAAAACCATGACTACTGGGGCGCCTGGGTGGCTCAGTTGGTTGAGCGTCCGACTTCAGCTCAGGTCACGATCTCACGGTCTGTGAGTTCGAGCCCCGCGTCGGGCTCTGGGCTGATGGCTCAGAGCCTGGAGCCTGCTTCCAATTCTGTGTCTCCTTCTCTCTCTGCCCCTCCCCCATTCATGCTCTGTCTCTCTCTGTCCCAAAAATAAATAAAAATGTTAAAAAAAAAAAAATTAAAAAAAAAAAAACCATGACTACTTCTTCCTCCTGTCTTCAAGCTCCCACAACAAAGAAGCCCTCCAAACGACACCCACACACATGCAAGCCACACATGCCAGGAAGCCCTACAGAGTAGTCCAAGTGCCCGAAGAGTTTAGAGACACACAGAACTAACTAAAAACCACCTCTACCTCTTTGCTGTAACACAAAGTTGGATCCCACACAGTAGAATCTCAATGAATAGTGGTAGCTGCTTTTAGCAATAGTCAACTTGGGATAAAATAGGGTTGGACATAAAGGCAGCTCATTTAGACAGCAGCAGAAGATCCTAGATTCCCAGGTGCCATAAATGAATCGTGTAAATGGTCTAAGGAGGCTGGGCAGGCTGGCACATGCATGCCTTATGAAACTGTTTTATAATTACAGGTTTGTTTCTTTCCCTTAATACAAAGCTTCCCAAATGTCATACTTAAATAGCTGAAGTTGCAAGTCTGCATTCATACCTAATTTGGTCCACAATGCATTGCCATCTTCACGGGAAATTTGTTGTTATTTGTATCAGTAACTAAAGAATAACAGCTACTGTCAGAAACCAGCCATTTCCGGATTTAAGGACTGCGGGAATTACAGCTTGTTGGTTTAGGAATGCAGATATAGTGAAGAGACAGTTTAGAAAGCTAATATTACAGATTATAAAACGTGACATTTTCCCAGAGGTTCAACCTACTTAAAAAAAAAATGAATCTCGTCAAATTTAAAAGACATTCCACTGAAGGGACAGAGAAACCAAAACAATACACTTGGGAATAAATTAATAAAAAATCCTCAAGGACAGACAAAAGATCTGAATAAATGAAATGACCACGTTCTTAACTATGAAGGCTCAAAGCTGTAAAAGAATCAATTCTCCCCTAAATTATTCTATAAACTGAATAAAATCTCAATCAAAGTATAAAAGGTGCTCTAGGAACGTGTCACAGATATTTCTAAAATCTATCGGAAAGAATAAATTTGTGAGCTTGGTCATCAAAGTCATAAAAAATGAAAAAAAGCACCAAGTATTGAAACATTATAAAGCAACAGGCATATAATAGTAATACATGAATTAGCTGGTATGATTCATATTCTTACAAAAGTCAAGAATAAAAATATTAAG